TCCCTAGGGAGTGGCAGGAGAAGAGGTAGGAGTTATGCTATTTAGATCTCCTAATGGATCTTGCTTTATATGCAATAATAAATCCTAAGTGTGTTGCTAATTAACTCTACCTCAAACCACTCCCTTTCTTAGTGCTTAAAAGACATTTTGACTTCTGGGATATTAGCTCACCATTCATATTCTTAAAGATGTTGAGGATGGGGAGGATTTGACGGTAATAGGGCACCAAAGCTTCACCCACCATCTCAGCAGACACAACCAGATGCTGTAGGACTTTGAGAGTGACGCAGATGACCTGTCGGTTTCGGAGGTTCAAGGCATCTATACAGTAGGAAAAGGAACAAGCCAAAAATAGAAAGCATTCATTTCTACAATGTTAAGGGAAGTCGTCTCGTAGACCACTTAATTAAACTGTACTCTACTGGGGATCACCAATGCGATGAGCCTGGCTTATTACAGCTTTGAATGATGCACTATTAATGCCATAAACGGGATCGTGTTTGTGTATTATTTGTTCTCCCGACTTGCACTGATTCCTCATCAATCCTAAGAAAGCAATTCATTGTCCTTCACAGAAGAGGCTGGTGACAGATGAGTAGCATGAAAGGTAAAAGATCAGTTCGTGTTGCTAAAGGATCCCATGGAGGTTGAAAACACATAACTTTTTATGCAATGATCCCTTTCAGTTAGCAATCCATGCTATGCTTAAAACTATTGCCATGAAAAAACATTTTTGGGGGAAGAAGAGACTGGTTATGCTGTATATGAGTAGAAACTATAGACTGGTTACAAACTTCGAGAACATTGTTGGTAGAAGTGACCATAAAGTGACTATAATTAGACTCTCGAGAAAGTAGGGAAGAAAAGCAAACATTTTTAATGTTCAGAACTTTAAAAGGAATTAACTGTATATAACTAAGATACCAAAGGCATACAAAATGTTTTTAAAGAACAATTCTGAATGCACAGTAACAAGCTGTACTGCAGAGATAGAACAGGAGACAGTAAGTTACCTGGTGTCCCCCAAGTGCAGGGCCTGGAAACCTGCTCCAGTGGGGCTGCAGCGGCCCAGGGACAAGGACATGGATAACTGGCTGTATAAACACAGCCAACTCCCCCCACACACACTTTCTTGGTCCTTAACCATGGGAACCTATTATTTACTTTCTAAAATGGCCAAAATGTCTATGATTTAAATAGAAAAGCCATAAGAAGCATCTGTTACAGAAGGTCAAAGGTGGTGACTGATAAATTGCAATGCCCGAGACTACTTCAGGACAAAGTCAGAGGCTCTTATTTGTAATATTCTACCTTCTAAAGAAAAAATTGACTATGACTTTAAAGCATGTGCCATTTACGGAGGGACAAAAGGAACCAGTCCATCCAAAGGAATGACACCACGGTCACTGTACTTCTGAGGCAGTCCTAACATTGCTCTTGAACTGCAGCTCACATCTCCAGTAGCCTGCGTCTTGTGATCACCTCAAATTCAGTTTGTTCCAAAGATGTTTCCCCCATAAATTTTACCTTTTACCTATTTACCCCATATTTAGTATTGATACAAACAGGTTCCCAGGTATCCAGGGTCAAAATCTGTTTCTCAGCCCTTTTGCATTCTTCATGTTGCAAAGTCATCTTATTCTGTTTTTGAAGTAGCTCTTGAATTTGTGTCCTCCTTCCATCCTCACCTCTACCCTTCTAGTCCCGGGGCTCCACCCTCACCACCTCTCCCCTGGTCCCGGGGCTCCATCCTCACCACCTCTCCCCTGGTCCCGGGGCTCCATCCTCACCACCTCTCCTCTGGTCCCGGGACTCCATCCTCACCACCTCTCCCCTGGTCCCGGGGCTCCATCCTCACCACCGCTCCTCTGGTCCTGGGTCTCCAACCTCACCACCTCTCCCCTGGTCCTGGGACTCCATCCTCTCCAACTATCCTCTGATTCTGGCCCTTAGAACTCCTCTACCGGAGAACTGCCATACCTTCCTAACCCACCTGCCTTCTTTCTGTCTTTCTCCACTCCCTCAACCTGTCTTTTCACACTGCTGCTGGATTCACCTTCTTAGAACGTATTTGATAATCTCTCTACCTGCTCAGAGAGTTCAGAGTCTCCCGCACACCATTTCCTACAGAATAAAGTACAAACTAGCCAGGCACAAGGGTGACACTTAAGGTAAGTTTGAACCAAACTAAATTCTCAATTGAAAATACAAGAATATAAGGTATCATTTAGTGGTTTCACAGCTATTCTCTTTGGAATCACTAGGAAGTGTTTAAAACTAAAGTGTGGTCAGCTTCATCCCCCCCAGCAAAAAAGTGGGGGTTGAGGTATGAAAACACCTCAGGGCAACCCCACAACTTCTGGTCCAGTTCAGAGTACATTCCTGTTTGGTTTGAAAGCAAACAGAAATACAATGAATAGAGAAGGCTCAGTTTCAACGCAAGGAACCAAGTTAAGTATAACTATGGAATTTGATTGCATGATGGCTCATTATTACAGCATTTAGACACACTGCAGACCATACCATATATTCTGAGAAATAACTAAACATAGAATGCTATAATTTAGCCTAAAAGCTGTAGTAATGAGATGCTCAAGAGCAGAGCTTCAGAGAACCATGGGAAGTGGGAGAGGGAGAAGGAAGGTCAGGTAGAGTGTTTTGTAGTGGTCGTGGGGGTCCTTTCTTCTGGTCTTATGCAAGCTAAAATTGTTTTGTCTTTTTAGGAAGCCAGAGGTTATTGATCCCTGCTTTACTGACGCAACTTCATTTAACGGAAGAGAACTGGGAGCCTGCAGAAATGTCATTCTGAGTATTATGGGCAGTGGACATTCTTTCAAAACGTCTACCAATGAAGCTCAACATGCTTAGGGTTTGGTACTGCACAGATCTGTGTGATGGTTCATATACTAGTAACTAACATGTATTGGGCACCTCTATATGCCAGGAATTAAACCGAGCACTTTACATATATTAGTTGACTTAATCCTCATTCATCAAATATTTATGGAGAATGCATTATGCACCAGTTATTGTTTTAAGAATTGGAGATATAGAAGTGAACAAGACAGTTATAGTACTCAGCCCCTTGGGGCTTACAATATAGTATGGAAGAAGATATTGAACAAATACTACAAGTGTGTTGAGATTTCATAAGAAGGATATGGTATTTAAACAGCAAATCGAAAAGGCATTCAGCCCAGCCTACACACTAGGGAAGGCTCCCAGACACAGGTAAGGACCTAAGGGATGAGTAGATGTTATTAGGATGAAGGAGAGGGAACAGCATGCTAGATTGCCCCCTCTTGGATAAAGGACTTCTTTTAGAAGGTCTACTCCAGCTCATAGGGATAAAATTCTACTTAGCCACGTGGGAACAAAGCCCAAGACAGCAAAGAAGCAGAGTCTTCCAAATGCTTCTATCATTGTGTATGTGTTTTCCTTGGGATCATTTAGAAATGGCGGGAAGAAGGATGTGAGTATGTGCAGATGTACATAAAAGGAGAGTGAGGCAGAGTACTTTTCCCCAAGCTAAAAGATCCCTAGGTCCTGTCTTGTCTTATCAACCAAATAGAATCAGATGTCTAAAATCCTGGGTTTCTGTCTTTTCTTACTATTCGTCCCTCTATCCCACCCCACTTCTTAAAAAGGACTCACAGCCACATCCAGCTAAATGTTTTATAAACTGCTTAGTCAGGAAGGATTAGACATCGAAACAGAATTACATGAGTTTGTTGTTTTAATTTTTTATATATTAAAATAAATTAAATTGAGTGTATATAATTTCATTCCACTTTGTGGGTTTTTTTTTTTTCAAGAAAGCCTTTCTGTTGACACTATAAAGTCACAAGTAGGAGAACCTATTGAAAGTATTAGAAGAGATAGCTATCTGAGCATGTGTAGAGTCCATCTGGTGACTGCAGAAAAGATTTTGGTGGCTGTAGCGCCTACTGAATGCTGGCTTGTCAAGTGCCCTTCTTTTAGAGTATACATGCCAAAGCTTGCAATAAAACAGGCTAAAGTATGCTCATCTACTACCAGTGTTAGAGAAGAGTCTTGCCATATAGAATATATTAAGGAGTAAACCTTTTTATATATATGAGTAATAATGACATCAAACTTTTGTTGATTAGGTTTATCCCTGTACATATGGCTAATTGATCACCTGGGGATAAATTTTTTTTTTTTTTTTTGTGGTACACGGGCCTCTCACTGCTGTGATCTCTCCCGTTGCAGAGCACAGGCTGCGGACGCGCAGGCTCAGCGGCCATGGCTCATGGGCCCAGCCGCTCCGTGGCATGTGGGATCTTCCGGCCTCTCCCATTGCAGAGCACAGGCTCCGGATGCACAGGCTCAGCGGCCATGGCTCACGGGCCCAGCCACTCCACGGCATGTGGGATCTTCCCGGACCGGGGCGCGAACCCGTGTCTCCTGCATCGGCAGGCAGACTCCCAACCGCTGCGCCACCAGGGAAGCCCCACCTGGGGATAAATTAATAATCTCCTTCACCACGGATAGTAATAATAGCTATTAAGAAATAATTACTTTATCTCATTGCAACACCAATTGAATTAACATGATTGTGAAAAGTGTTATTGAATTGACAAAGACTGACAAGTAAAACGCTTCAACTGTTACTCTTAATGACATCTAAAATGGAACCCTGAGGCATCCTAAGTGACCAGGGACTGGCTCTAAAACTTCTGCAGTAGCTGTGAAATACAGCCACGGTATGTGCTAGAAAAGCCCCTTAACTTCATCTAAGAGGGATTTTTTTTTTATATTGCCCATTTCCACTTCAGTTCCTCAGTTCTATTTTTGTTCCTCATTCTAGGGGAATTAAGATATACCATTAAGGGGCTTCCCTGGTGGCGCAGTGCTTGAGAGTCCGCCTGCCGATGCAGGAGACGCGGGTTCGTGCCCCGTTTCGGGAAGACCCCACATGCCGCGGAGCGGCTGGGCCCGTGAGCCATGGCCACTGAGCCTGCGCGTCCGGAGCCTGTGCTCCGCAAATGGGAGAGGCCACAACAGTGAGAGGCCCGCATAACGCAAGGAAAAAAAAAAAAAAAAGATATACCATTAAGTTGGAAGTCTTTTTTGTTCTTACTGTCCCAGTAGAACTAAATAAAAAAGAGGTGGTTTTTTTTTTTTGAAACAAAGTTCTTTTCTTTTGAAAAAGTATGTTAACAGATATAAAGAGAATATGATTCTATAGCTTGAAAGAGAAGAAATGTGTTTATTCTTGTGTTGATGCGCCTGAAAGCAACTGTCAAGATTTAAGTGAGGACTCTGAACTCAAGATTTAAGGTTTTGAAAAGGGTTTA